GGGGGGGGGGGGGGGGGGGGGCGTGTGCTCACATGAACAATCTGCCAAAGGCTTGATCTGGGGTAAAGATATTAATTTCACTGTATTATGGGTTGCTTCACCTCCCAGCTCATTCACATTGTTCTTAGAAAAGATCTGGCGTTACTGAGTCCCGTGTTCTCACACGTGGTTTTTTAAAAAACACGTTTCACTGTAGAAAAATAAGTGTGTGTGTGTGTGGGGGGGGGGGCTGTAATAGTAATAATAATAATGAAGCATACCTATCTGGCTGGCAACAAGGTCGTGTTACGCTGCAGTGCATGATGGCACAGGCCAGATGAAGGTGTAACCCTACGCTGTTGTGACATCAGCTTGAATGGCAGGCTGGTCAAACCGGTGTTGAAGCCTGCAGAAGTGCCTGCCTCACTTCACTTTACCACCGTTTACTCACCTGTGTGGCTGGCTGTGGTCACCTTCTCCTCATTTGTCCTAACTTTTTCCCCTTTTTGACCCCAAACTGGGCACATGGAAACAGGGAGCAACCACACCTAAAACTGTGGTAGAAGAGACACGAATAAAAAAGGCAACAAATTCTGGAAAAATACTTAAAGGAGAGAATGGAAACGAACGGGATTGAAAAGAAAATGACAGGTAAGTGCTTTTATTTTTGTAAGTTTTCTTGTTGAAGGTGTGTTTTGCATCTGAGTGTCAATTTGAGCAAAATATGACATTTTTAGTTTTTTTTTTTCCTACATTAAAATGTAATCAAAGTAAGCCTCTGCATGAACTTTGGATTTGTTAGCTGTACAGTTACAAGCTGAGAGCAGTTTGTATCACACATCAGATCAGTTTCCTCTGCTTCAAGGTGTGGCCACCCTCATACATCTTCCTCTCAATATGTGGCAAAAACAGCCAAACCAAACAGCACCGAGGTTGTATTTAGGCTCACGTTCAGGAGCAGGAAAACAGGGTGAAACGTAGACTTTTAAAGCTTTCCCTTCTTGCTTTTTACCAGTTCTTTTTGGTGTGCTCAAAGATCTCGAGTAAAGGAATTCAATCACAGCGGCCGGAAGTTCCGCGCGTTACCACCAGAGGGCGCGCTTCATTCATTCCTGCTCCACGTTAATATTTTGTTTGATCTCCGCGCTAGTTAATTATTATCTAATATGAAAAAAGTTTTGTAGCTTCATCGGGTTTCTGGCTAATTTCTGAAGTTCCCTTGGAGCACAGATACACTGCGGACAGATTGGTCTCGTTTTTTAGCTTCCTCCCAATTCCAACAACTTGTGGATACTTTGGAGTGTGCGTGCGTGAGTCAGCTGACTGTCGGAGGGAAGTCCTGGACCTTCAGAGTCCAGTCCACACCCTGCTCCTGCAGACTGGTGCAGGAGAGCTGCAGCAGCATGTCCTGCGTGCAGAAGCAGCCGAAACTCAGCAGGTCTGAGGAATTCCTTCACCATGCCTGCAGCCACAGGACCATCCAGATCAGCGCCAGGCTCCTGGGTATGTTGCTCTGCAGAAGGTCGGAGTGAACTCTGCAAGCATGTGGTGCTGCAAGGTTAAGGCTGCAAGCTTTGGAAACCTTGAGACTCCTAATCAGCCTGGCTGTTTTCATTTAGTGTCTGCTGTAGAAATGATTCAGAAGTGGTTTGCTGGCTTCATCTGTGTCTGTCAGGCTGACTTTTCCTAAATATTTCTGGTTTTTCAGGTATGGAGGGAGATCCGGACCTCCAGTTCCTCCTGAATGGTGGAGACCTCCTCAAGGTTCGGTCCCAGTCCTGGAAAAAGACTCGATTTCTAAAACTGCAGGACGACTGTAAGACCATGTGGCGTCAATCCAAGAAACCCTTCAAGTCCAGCCAGACCTGTGAGTCCCTGCACACCTGAGTCTGATCAAGTCCTGCACGCCATCTGTACTCCATCAAACTCCTGTTTTCAGTACCGACACACCTCCAACCATCTCTGGTAATGTTTCACTTCAGATCGGTTCCTGTCGTGGATCATAGGAGTGGAGGATCAGCCATAAAGCTGTAAAGTTTTTGATTAAAAGGCTTTGGTCTTATCTCACAGCTGGTTGTTCTGCATCAGCTCAGAGGGCTTGTTTGTAGGGAGAGTATTTCCTTCAGTGAGTGGAGTCCTAATATAGGTCTTTCTGGATTACATCCACAAACTGCTGTCAGGTGATGTCTTGTTGGTTTAGTCATGTTTGTTCACCGAGGTGACTGCAGGCTTTAAAAAAGCTGAAAAAAATCTCTCGTTTACCAAGGAAGGTGTCCACTGATGCTCAAGAATATACTCTTAGCAGAGCAGCACATAGGTTTTAATCACAGGGCAAAATAGCTTCAATGATGTTTAGTTTTTTAATTTTGTAGTTTCAGTTGCCAACATCTCAGCGGTGCAGCTCGGTCGTCAGTCGGAGGGTTTCAAGAAGAACACAGAGGAGCAGGTGGAGGGCCGCTGCTTCTCGATCCTGTTCAAGAGCCGCCACAAGAGCCTGGACCTGATCGCCAGCTCTGAGGAGGAGGCCGGGCAGTGGGTCCGAAGCCTGCAGAAACTCATCACCAGCATAAACAAGCAGAGCCGGCAGCAGACCACAGAGCAGTATCCTTCAGTGAACATCACAGCTTCTGAATCAGGCAGGCTGACAAACTCTCCTTACAGCTAAAACTTCCCAGCTGGATCTTCAGCTGCCTGAGGAAAGCAGATAAAAACAAGGACGAGAAGCTGACTCAGTCAGAGATGAAGAACTTCCTGCGGCTGGTCAACATGGACCTGGACGACAACTACGCTGAGATGCTTTTCAAGGTGATTCCTCACAGGAACTTCTAATAGTTTAATCACAGAATCATTTAAAAACTGGCTTAATGAAATATTACGAGATGATGTTTGGAAGGAAGAAAAGTGATGTATGGAAGAATCAAACAACACAAAATGAATATGTTAATTCTGACTTTCATTATTGTTTGGTTTCAACATTTTCATGTAGATAAGTATCATCCATTCCTGACAGCACAAAGAAAAATGTGACTGTGAGTGGGTGAAGTAAGGATAATGTTTAAAAAGACCACGATGTTAAAAAAAATCAGCATCCACCAAAAGCTGAGCTGCCAAGAATGAAAGATGGTTCAGAAGTCTCCAGTTTTAAACCATTTCAAAGAAACATTGGGAAACATTTCTGTTTCATTCATAACTAAATATTTTTGAGTAATTGAATGAATCTGGAGGAGAACCAGTGAGTAAAGACAAAAGATTTTGTGATGATCCTGCAAATACAACAAGCGAAGGAAAACGGCTTCTTTTTTCCCAAGAAATTTGGCACAAAACACAATTCTACCCATTTTATCACATAACTGGATTATTTTCTTTTTAACTTGGAGGAGCCAAAGAGAACAACAGGAAGTGACATCACAGGGAACTTCCTGCTCTTTGTTTATTGAAACATTTGCACTCTGACTCAAAATAATCTAAAGAAACATCATATTCTTCTGTGCTGTTAGCCACTACGCTCTGTTCCCCTTTGACATCATTTCCTGTTAGTGACATCACTTCCTGTTACTGTGCACGAGAGTACTGTATCTCAACAACCGTTCATCTCAGTGGCGTGAAATTCTTTTTGCAAATCATTATAAATGTTCTCTTTCCAAAAATGCGTTCATATTTATCAGAAAATGTTGCTGCAGCAGGAACTTTAAATTGAATCTGATCATTTCATCAAATCATTTATCATCCATCCATCCATCCATCCATCCATCCATCCATCCATCCATCCATCCATCCATCCATTATCTTTACCTGCTTCTTCCATTTTGGGTCATGGGGTTCGCTGGTGCCCATGTCCAGCAATCACTGTGTGAGGGGCGGGGTACACCCTGGACAGGTCTCCAGTCCATCACAGGGACACATAGAGGCAAACGAGACAAACAACCATTCACTCTCTCACTCACACCTAGGGACAATTTAGTTACCAATCAGTCTAACATGCATGTTTTTGGACTGTGGGAGGAAACTGGAGTAACTGGAGGAAACCCACACGTGCACAGAGAGAACGTGCAAATTCCACCCAGAAAGGCCCCTGGACTTGAACCGGCAACCTTCTCGCTGAGAGGCAGCAACTCTTGCAGTTGCGCCACCGTGCTGCCCTTTCATTTATGAATATGCGATCAAACCACATGAACTGTTACGTCCACAGTTTAGATTATCGTAGAGTTGAACCTGACGACTCTGCACCATTTTAACACTTTTGTGGGAGAAATTGGAGAATTAAAAACGTTTCATGTCGTGTTCTCGGTGTCAGAACGTCTGCTGAGAAGACGTGATGCTCCAACACGAGGAGGCGGTTCTGCTCTGGCTGCTTCTCAACTGAACCTGAAGTGCAGGAGTGGAGCTTCATCTGAAATGTCAAATCCAGGCTTCAAGCTCTAAAGAAAAATCTCTTGTAGACTTCTCCGACTGCAGACATTTTGAAGAATTGTGCCTGTAAATCAAAGTTAGGGTCTGCATGTGTGAGAAAACATTTATTTGTGTTATTTTTGGTTGATTTGTTAAGAGAACTGCTGTACTGTGAGGACACCCTGGTACCATCTCCGTTTCATTTGGTTTTAGTTTGGACTAACTCAATTGTAATTGTCCCCCCACCCCCCACCCCACCCCTTACAGAAATGTGACCAATCAAACTCTGGATACCTGGCTGGGAAAGAGATTGAACATTTTTATAACCTGCTGACCCAACGCGAGGAAATCGACATCATCTACGGGGAGTATGCCAAGACCACGGGCGTCATGAGTGCCCAGAACCTGGTGGACTTCCTGATGAAGGAGCAGCGAGAGCAAGCCACGCTGGCTGATGCTCAAAAAATCATCGAGACGTTTGAGCCGGACGAACACGGTCAGTGTTTTCTCAGAGCAGGTCCACCTCAGGTCCTCGGCTGTCAGGGGGCTTAATGGCTGAACTTTCCCTTCGATTCACATCTTTATTAAACACTCGTTGAAGGCGGGATGTATTATGGCATGGTCCGGAAACTTCCTCTTGTTCCACCCATAACTTCTGATCCGCTCTTACCATCAAGGATGTTTTATCTGAGACTACAGAATCAAATATTAACCGTCTAAATTCTCAAAGGAAGACACGAGGGCGAGACTTCCATCCTTCAGTGAAGAACTGATGTCTTGTCTTTGTGTTCTTTTAGCCAAAGATAAAAAGCTGCTCTCCAAGGACGGCTTCCTGATGTACCTGAACAATCCAGAGGCCATGATTCTCAATCCTGAGCACGTGGAGGTGTACCAGGACATGCACCAGCCCCTCAACCACTACTTCATCTCCTCCTCGCACAACACCTACCTCCTGGAGGATCAGCTCAAAGGGCCCAGCAGCACGGAGGCCTATGTCAGGTACCGAGACACCTCCATCCAGTTTTAGCTTCTGCAGCTGACACTAAAATGGTACCCAACTTTTTGTCTCTAGTTGTTTCGCTGTCCCAGTGGGGTAATGTAGGAAGAAAAGTATTTGGAAGACAAACTTTAAACCTTGAATCCACAACAGACTTCACCTTGTCATGTAGAAATCAGGAGCATCCTTTCTGTGAGAAAGTTTAGTGCCCGACGTCAGGGCCCTGTGGCATTCCTGCACTATTGCAACATGACAGTATGCACTTTGCACCACCAATGATGGATTTGACTTTCAGAGCTCTGCTGAAGGGCTGCCGCTGTGTGGAGCTGGACTGCTGGGACGGGTCAGACAACGAGCCGGTGATCTACCACGGCTACACCCTGACCTCAAAGATCCTGTTCAGAGATGTGATCAAAGCCATCAAGGAGAACGCCTTTAAGGTGTGTTCAGCTGGAACATCAGGTAAGATTCTGGATTCAGTTGGATGATGTCCATTAACACTTTTTGGGGGGTCTGGTTGTCCCACCAGACATCTGATTATCCAGTTATCCTCTCCTTGGAGAACCACTGCAGTGAGGAGCAGCAGGTAGTCATGGCCCAACACATGAGCTCCATCCTGGGGAGCGCGCTCGTCACTTCTCCCCTGGACGATGGCGTGCCCCAAAACTTTCCATCTCCAGAGGTTGGTATCAGGAAGCCCGTCAAGAAAAGCTGTGGTTGAGGAGGAGGACATCGTTCAGACTGTTTCCATGTTGTGCTTGTTGGTACGTCTCCTCCCAGGAGCTGAAAGGAAAGTTCCTGATCAAAGGAAAGCGATTAAACAAACTGGAGGTCAGCTTCGCGGGGGACACAGCAGCTGCTGAAAACACAGATGTGACTGAGGAAGAGGAGTCAAACGATGAAGACGAGCAAAAAGAGAAGAAGAACCAGGTAGGTGTGACATCACTGGTGTGCACGTGAATTCAACAAGCTTCTAATGTTCCTCTTGTGTTAAAGAAAAAGCTGAAACTAGCCAAAGAGCTGTCCAACATGGTGATCTACTGCCGGAGCGTCCACTTTCACAGCTTTGAGGACGCCAGGAAGAACCAGAGCTTTTACGAGATGTCGTCCTTTAAGGAGGGGAAGGCCAAGAGTCTGGCAGAAGAGACGGGTAAAGAACATCTCTGATGGTGTGAGAAACCTTCACTCAGCTCCGTGAATGAATCCTTGGTTCACGTGTGTTTTTCTGCAGCCAACGCCTACATCCGCCATAATGTGGAGAAACTGAGCCGCGTTTATCCCTCAGGCTCCAGGACCGACTCCTCAAACTACAACCCAGTGGACCTGTGGAACGCTGGCTGCCAAATAGGTACAAAACCCTGACATCTGATATGGAAGCAGCAGGTACCGTCAGATCTCCTTCATCTCATTTCCTGCATTCTTTCATTGTTTTCTCAGTCACCTTGAACTTCCAGACAGACTGCAAGGAAATGGACTTGAACCAGGGCAGATTCCAGGTCAACGGCAAGAGTGGGTACATCCTCAAACCGTCCTACATGAGAGACAGCACCACTGAGTTTGACCCGATCACCCTGACCCGAGGGGAGTGGCTGAAGCACAAGACGCTGCATGTCATGGTGAGGTTATCAGCGTGAAGACAGGCATTCTGCTGTGAAACCTGTTTCCAGCCTCGATCTCTATCTGCCACCAGGTTATTTCAGCCCAGCAGCTCCCCAAAGTGAACAAGAAGAGTTCCTCCGTCGTGGACCCGTTCGTGAAAGTGCAGATCTATGGAGTGCCGGCTGACGTTGCAAAGAAAGAGACCAGTGTTGTCGACAACAACGGTAACTTGCTGGGCTCTGTGTCTTATTGAACTTTGCTTCATTGTGTCTGTTATGTGCTTTTAGTCTTCAGGTCATCTGGACAGTTTATTTTTGTGGAAAGACGTTTCGCCCTCTATCCGGAGGGCTTCATCAGTCTGAGAGTCCCAAGTAAACCGTTTACCCACCAAGCAGTACTCTCCTTTAGTGGACCAACCAGTTTGCTGGTGATAAGATGGTTTCTGGGGGCTGTCCTGTCCCCCGTTGACTCCTCCCAGGCAGGCAGCCACTAAAAGCATCAAAGTTCATGCTCAATCATCCAGGTACAAAATCCAATAATGGTC